TGTTCGAAAACTTGTTGCCATTTTGAAGGTAATTTCATTATGCCTCTCTCATAAAAGTTCTCGTCCCTATTAGCAAAAAATTGAGACAATCGATTTTCATAAGCCTCTCTTGAAGCGATTTTGTCACTAGACAAAGTGTTTGCTCTGAACAGAAATATATGATAATCACTTAATGCCAGGTCTGGAGTATAAGGTGGATGCATAAGAACTTTCCAACCAATCTGCCAGAGCTTTCTTTAATAATCCAAACAGTCAGTCTGCATTAATAGATCGCATTCAAGTGGTGCAAAGGCCAGATTCTTTATAATTTTCAGATTTTTATGGCAACAGTGCCTTAAGTTGAAAGTAATAAGTTATAAAGTTATATTAATATTAATATATATAATTTATATGTTTCATAGAATTAAACAATTTAAGGATCTGGATTTACTATACTTCACAACGTTTTCGATTCGTAATATAATAACATTTTAAAAACCTAATATACCATAAAATAATATAGTAATAAGTATGCAGTTTACGTTGAGATTTTAAATTTTTAACATATGAATCATCGGGGAATAAAATAATTATGATAATGATTCTTTAAATAGAGTATGAGTACAAATAATTATTAAAATAATCTTTTTCCACTAAAATATTGTTATTAAAAAGTTGTTATAATAAAATTATGATATCAATAATCTCAGAATGATAAAGTTATCTGCCTTCAACTGTTCTGTCTACTCGAAGTGTTGGGAAAATAAATTATGATTTATTAAAAAAGTATATAATAATGCCATAAAATTAATTACATTCTGTAGATACATATGCACATTTAGATACATATATACACATATAGTAGAGATGTAATATAATGTAGCGATTACCTAAAGGGGATTAAAAGATGAGTAAAAGGGGGGTTAACAGTTTAACCCCCATGGAAGTGCAATGCAAACTAGTCCATATGAACTTTATCATAAAAATAATTAAATATGAAGTTTTAGTGGAATGAATATTTTGACAATTATTTTTATATAATAATAACGCATTCTTCTTGTTTTATACTATCGGTAATTAAAATTGCCTACTAACCAATATATCATATATGAAATAATGTTTCAACAATTAAAAGCTATTCACATTTAAAATTCTAAAAGAACATTTTAATAGCACTTTTTTTAAGTTTTTAACACAGCTCAGAAAACAGAGATAAATTAGTCAAAATATATACTATATGATAGTTCATTATACCAGACTACAAAGAAAGCCCGGCTTGTACCTTCTTCTTTACTACTCACAATGGCATTACACGAGAAAACGTTTACAGGGTATATCTTAAATTCAAAAATCACCAAAAAATTAATTGTACAACTACGGTCACAGTGCTCCGCTCCAACTCTGTTAGATAAGAAAAATGAAATGAAACAGAGAAACGGCGTTTACATTGTGAGATTAAAAGTAGAGCAATAATCGAAATTAAAGTACTTATCCTGTTGTATAATCTCAGATTTCCCATACAAAAGTTAATCTCCTTTTGGACGAGATTAATTTTTAATCTCATTAGAAATAATGATTATTTTTCTGTGCAACTCTATAAATGACCTAATATCGTAGATTTCGTAACGAACTTAGAAGAAGAACATCTTAGAATTGGAAGAGAAATGTAAAAATCTATTCAAAACAAATATTGAATATGCCGAAGTGAATAAGTTTTTATTAAATTTCTTTAATAAAAGTTTTATACATAATAATAACTAAAATTTGTTAAATTATTGTTATAAAACTATATATTAAATTTATATTATAATTTTTTTTTGTACAAAATTGTAATTAAATACTTTAGGCCGTGTGCGAGTTCAAGTAAATTGAAGTAAAGTAAATTGAAATTTCCTAAGGATTTTTTACACTGCACTTATGCAAATATTTATTTTTTGCACTTATTTATTATTTTTGGTTAAAAGTTTTCAAAGTTATTTATTTATTTTAAACATCTTATTTATTAAACACCTAATTTACCTCATATTTATCTAATTTACTCTACTCGAAATTCTAGTAAATACCAACATTCGCTGTCATACCGACATAATTTACTATTTTCCTCAATTTACTCGAACTCGCACATGGTCTTAATCACACAATGTGAACGTGCTATACAGGTAGAACCTACCAATAATAATAATTCAAAATATTGTTTTTAAATTATATCGTTTTGGAACACTGTTCCTCTAAATAAAATTCAATTTAGAATTTAATTTTCCAATTAGAAGAAATTGAAGATTAAGTTGTGTTTCATTTGCTTCTACGTTTTCCGGTTTATATTATTAAATATCTTTAACTTTTAATTTATAAAGAGAGATATTACATAAAACAAAACAATAAAAATAAAGTAACTTACTTGATCCGGCGATTCCTTGATATCCAATACGACGATGTTGCTGATTACCGTTACCACCACGTTGATTGTTGTCATCATCATTCAAATGTCGGCGATACGACAGACGCGATATTATTGAATTTATCGACATTATATCACTTATTATACGAAAAAAAAACACCACTTTAAGCGCAACAGGCAAAAATTATTAAAACACCGTCATTTGTGTTAATTTCTTGCCAAGTTAAGAGAGTATTGAAGTCACTGCCCCCGCAGCACTTAAACGGCTTCCACTTAGGCTTATAAATAATTAAGAGCAAATATCTTATTATGTTAACAACTTAAAATGACTTAAAAATAATTAACCATATGTAGATCTATATTCTGAGCACTCAACAATATCACCGAATATTATTTGAACACTAATGAATTTAATTTTATTATTTTCAGGAAGCGCTAAATTACTGTTTCCTTTTCTATGATTTTCAGTTTAATTTCTTTTTACAGTTATTTTCAGCACATCTTGGTTTTTGCGCATTATTTTTTAAGCAGAAATGGATTATTATTAACACCACTTACTATCAGTTTTAATCGCAATCAATGTTAATAACTAAAAATGAACTAGTCAGCAAACTCTCATAATAAAATTATAATATAATTGTTTGCAAATAATTCCAATGCAATGAAAGAGAAAACAAACAAACAATACACAAATAAAGCGCTCAGCTGATTGAAATGTCATTTTTATTACTAAATATATTTCGAGACTCGATTCTGTCGGCGGCTTAGAGCTGCCAAATTTTATATTAGTTGAAATTTAATTAAAAGCCAGAATCGCATAAATTAATAATTTCATAAACAAAATAAATATTTAATTATAATTTTAAAACAAAATGGAAAATAAATAGAATTAAGAAATCATTAAATATATTAACGGCATAAATCTTTCAAATTCTTTTAAAATTTTGTTTTAACAATCATCGTGTTCACACAGCACAAAAAATTTTAATATAAATTGTTTTATTAGACATTTGACTCGCAAAGCAAATAAAATTTTTTATTTTTATTTTATTTCTCAATATTCAGCTTTCTCCATGAACTTTATGGCATTCACAATAATCGGAATAATATTAAAAATATTTACAAAATTTAATAAAAAAAAATCTTATGTAGTACAAAGTTTTTTGATGTTTTTTGGAATAACTACCGAATTTTGACACAACACGATTCTGCATCATCTATGTCTGTATAACCGTTTAAACACGACAAAATACCAACAAATTGTTGATTCCATTGGTATAACGTCGTCATATCGCAAAGCATGGCTAAACTTGTACAGTGTTGCCTTTATAAAAAACAGTGTTTAATCAACACCTGACATTACCTATTAGTTTGTATTTACTTAAATTAGCGTCACTGTAACTCAATAACTAATGGATATATAAGATATAAGAAGATATCCATATATATATATATGGAGATATAAGAAGATTCCTGAAAGTATCGATACCTAGTCATACGACTACAAATAAGTTCTTGTAATTGGTAACTGGAAAGCATAAAAAATATATATGGAGCTCTACAACAGGTAAATATCACATTTCTAATTCGATACACCGCTCAGTTAAAAAGATTAATAAAGGACAAACCCATGCCCTGTCGATAGAGCACCGAAATAGGCTTTTGTTTAAGTGCTAATTGGAGAAAGAGGGAGCGCTCTGAAAATTTTATTTGAAATTTGATTTGATGCAGTATACATTGAGTTATAAACGCATATAAACGGAATACAAGATTGAAAAAAGAAGGCATTAAATGGAAAACGATAGAGAGATTTGGTTGAGGACAACAAATTTAGGAAAATCTAGTGTTTGTAGTGACAAAAATAAGTTATCCATGAGCTTTGACATGTACCGCATGACATGTGATTAAGGATACGTTTACCTTGGTTGAATACTATACCTTAGTTCCATCTATCAATCTATTGATTTTAGCGACAGAAATAGTTTATCAATGAGCTTTACCGCATGACACGTATTTAAATATACATTTTGCCTTTAATTTATTGAATATTATAATTTGGTTCCATCAAACATTTCAATTTATAAAAAAGCATATTTTTATTTTTTGTAGAAACTACAGACCAGTTAAACCTAATCACTAAAAAATTCCTTGAAAATAGTGGGGGAAGTCCTTGATTTTTTCAGATCGAAGACGAAGATATTATATATAATGTAAAATAATATAATTGTAAATATAATTCATATTACATCCCCAAAATTCTTATCAACAGTTTGTAAATCTTTAAAATATTCTCTGATCCGAAACTCTTTCTTAAGAATTCCAAATTTATTTCATTTTCAAGAATTCTTCAAAAAACAGTGGGAATCTTTAGCAGTACGAATTCGTAGAATGCATACATTACAACAGCGAAAAAAGCAGTACGTCATTTAGACCGATTATACTTGTATTTGACTCAGATCTGAGTATTATCAGTACAGAGGTCGCAAGTTTGCATATTTAAAATATAAACAAATAAATTCTATTATAAAAAAAACCTTAATAAGAAATATTGATACGATAATAAATAATTAAAAAATATTCAAAATTTATTATAAAAAAAAGTTTTGGATTTTTAAAGCTATCACTCTCAGGCATTGATTGCATTCTGTCAGTGAAGCTCATTGCGAAAAGACGTTTCAACATGATGGTCTGGAGATTTCTGTCGTTAGCTCTGTTGCTAACCATATCTTTTGCTAATATCAATGGAATCAACAGTGAATGCAAAATTCCACTCACCTCAAGCCATATGTTTTTGGTGCAAGTACCTTTGGTCTTCCAACAAAATGGAGAACTCTATCCGACTACATACAATGAAAAAGTTCAACAAATCGAAATGAATATAAAAAATAATGAAGAGGTGATGTTCTCTTGTGGACCAAATTATTTGCGAAATTTTATGAAAAAAGAAGTCCTCAATGTCAAATGTAATGGCGAAACCGGTAATTTCAGTGTTGTGGCTAATCCTGAACAGGAAATGAGTATTAAAATGTATTCGTGTGATTTACGTGTTATTGAGGAAGTTCTAATACCCGTTGAAGGATGTACAAATGAAAAATGGACTTCCGTGAATTTTGGTTATGTTGATCCAAATGAGAAATTAACATATGTTTTGGGCTCTGCTTGTTATGACATGAATGAGGCACGTACCATATTTGCACATGTCAAAATGGGAAAAACAGGTAAATATATAAATGTATTATTTGAAAAATTTGGAAGATACCATCACATACAAATTTTTAAGAATTTTTTAATTTAAGATTTGTATTTGGAATACAGTTAAAAATTTGTTACCCAATCAATATTGTCGCGGTGTAAGTCATTAAAGTAATAAGACCACCTATAACAAACAATGGAAAATATCAGATATGCAACTAATTAAAATAGTATCAAAAGGTCCAGAAAATCAGCGCTTCAAATGACAACTAAATATCACTAAGGCAGCAATTTCACTAAAAAGTAAACATTTTTTTAATGGAAAATGTGACTTATGTAGAAACGATTTTAGTTCTCAACTTACAACATAAAAACACATAAATGCAATACTTACTTAGTTGGCCATTACAGACCTGGGTCATGCTTGGCCGCGTCGAGTAGCCTTCTACAGCCAGCTAGGTTAGTTACGTGCTGTCGCCAGTTGGTAGTATCGAGCGCCCCCAAGTCATTGGTCCAGTGATCCTTCCACTGAAGATGTGGACGTCTTCTACCGCGTTTTTTACCTGCTGGTACCGAATCATATGCCTTTCAGACCGAAGTACTTTCTTCCATTCGCACGACATGAAAAATCCAGCGCTGCCGCTTAATTTTTATGCGTTTAACTATGTCAATATCGCGGTATAGCTTATACTGCTCATCGTTCCATCTAATTTGATACTCGTCGCTTTCCGTAAGGGACCATAGATCTTCCGAAGAAATGCTTCTAATCCCTTTTCATAATTGTCCAATCGTCTGCGATATAACAAGACAGGCATGATAAGCGATTTGTTGAGTGTGATTTCTGTTTGCCGAGAGAGTGCTTTATTTCTCAATTGCCTACTTAGCCCGAAGTAACATCTATTATCAATAGTGTTTCTTCATTTACCACAAGACCCATTTACTTCGCTTGTTTTTCTAAGTTGAAAAATGCAACACGTTTCTAAAAAATCTTAATAGACATTATCAACATAACTCTGGGAAGTAAGCCTGTTACCACCAAGATTTGTAATAGTTTATATATCAAATTTGAATTTAGACACCATATCTTTTACTATATTCACTGAACTTGTTCGAATACTACTTTACCTATGTTCAGTTCATAATTTTGAATTGTTTGAGAGTTGGATATCATCCACATAAATATTGGAATGCTACATACATTTCACTATTTATTTATAAAATATACTATACTATATTACATACTACAATACAATCCTACACTGTACACAGTAAAGTATACCTTTACTACCAAAGACTTAGCTGATTAGTAGCTTAATCTTATTGATCCAAAATAAGATTAAAACTCTGAAGACAGGGAAGAACTGAGTTTATAATACTTATTCTTTCCATATATGTATTCTCCTTATACATATCTATTTATCTTTCAGTACCAATTTCGCAATATCCTTGTAAAAATGAGGAGATTTACTTGAACTCCCAATTGAAAGCTACAGTAGTTAAAAATGATTTTAACAAAATGGGATTCTTATATTAATATATATTAATTAAATTTAAAAAAACCAATACTAAAAGAAAAATAAATAAATATCTCTTACAGGTTCCAATATCCTACAAAAATTAGATAAAAATTATCTCGTCACTAATCAGCACCCAGATGGACGTTACAAAATTGAACTTCTACGAAGTTTAAATTTTGATGAAATCTATGAAAATATACGTACTCACTTAAACACATCACCGCCACCAATGGGCATACAGCACTTTATAGATGAATCACTACTGAGCAGTAGTCAATTTCAAGCTGTAAAGAAATTAAGTTGGAATTATTATATTGGACCGGAGAAATTAGATGCACTTGATTCTCTCAAGCAAGATATACGACATCTGAGTGAGGGTATAAACATTGATTTATATGTCGGTAGTCATGGTGTTAATTTCATAAATGGAAAGAATGGTCACAAATTAAAAATATATTTACGGTCACACCAACGTTTCCCAATGCCCGAACTTATTTGGTTCGTGGTTAAATATCAAAATCGTGCAACTGCTTTTGGAGTTTACAATGATCTTATCGAGGGTAACATCAATAGGGAACATGAAACTGCAATTTGTCAGAGTGAATGTGAGAAAATAACTTGGTTATCGGATGCCAACAAAAGAAATAGAAAATCTTTAGTTTGTTGTTCCTATGCAGATTTGAAGAAAGTGGTCAACAAAGTACCCAACTTGGACGATGTCACCGATATGTTGCTCTAATTTTTTTTATTTTTTTCTCCTTAATAAAAATAAGTACATAATTTTTGAAATTCATTAAATATATAGTTTTGTATTGATTGTATTATTTAAAAAAACTTCTAAACTAATAAAGGTATCTATTTTACTGGTATTATAGGATATTATAAATATATAGATTATATGGTAAATTAGAATGATTCATTACCAATAGATTAATTTGAAATAAAGACTTGTCCGGTGTAGTCTTTTATTAAAATTAAGTCAATAACGAAAGCTTCCTTATGGAACAGACAGATACAGGGGTATTTTAATAATTATGTATAGTATATATTAAACTAAAATGATTCATAACTGATTGGATTGGAGATAAACATTTGTCTAGTGTAGGGTCTTATCAAAATTAAGTCAAAAGGTCTTATTTAAAGCAACAAATAAATTAAAACCAACATTCTCTGATAACAAATCTGGAGATTCCGAAAAGAAAAACATTATTAAGTATAATTAAACTTGAATCGAATTTTTTTATTAAATTAAATCGAATATTAACTAAAAACATAAATTATAAAAAAAAAATTTATAAACAGACAAATTTTTTTGTTCATTACTAATGGCGCAACGTTCCTAGTTGAATATCGGCATCCCTCAAGCAAATATTAACAGTTTATAAATAGTTGTAAAAATAAGATAGAATTTTAAATAATTAATTTCAATCTCTTCCGAAATCACACCTTGACATCAACTATTAACTGTTAATCACCTGTTCCTTCAAACTTTTAAGGTGACAACATGAAGTTCAACCAAGCACGCTACCTAAGAATTGGGAAAATTCAAATTGTAGTAGAATACTGTAAATAGGCTTTAAAAGTTATCAATTACCGAACTCTATATTCCTACTCCGAACTTTCCATGTTTTGGTCCATATCCACATGAATGTCTGATATAGAATCGTTGCTTGGACCCAGAAATTAACGTTAGCTTTTGAAAGAGGTACTGAACACTGTTAGCGGATATTTAATTCTAATAAATGGAATAAAAACTGCAATAAAAAGGAGACAATATTGCAATGCACCAAAACATAGTAACGTCAACACCTCAATAGAATGACCGGTAGATATTTTTAGAGTCTTCTGTATTTTGATCAATATTAATTTAACTATCTCATTTTGTAGTCTATGCAGCAAGCAACCAGAAAGAGTGCTGAACACTGCTAATGGGAATATAACGCTGGTTAATTAGATAATAATTGGACCTAACATTAATTAATTAGATAAATGGACCCAACATAACTACATAACTATGTCACCACCTCAATAAAATGTATATACTCGGATTTCTTTTGTTGTAACCGTTGTTTGCTCTAACGGTTCCGTAAAACGAGCAAACACGAAGAATGAAGTGTGATTAACGATGATGCGACAGTGAGATATAGAGTAAAAATTTTGAAAAATATGAGAGATTAAATATAGGTACCGAAACGTAGTTACCTTAGTAACTCAAACCCTGAATTGGAACTACTTTTGTGGAAAAAATTAATACATGCAATGTAAGTGGGCTTGTACGGGATAATAATATATTTGTTACATGACTACATTCTGACGTTAGTTGGATCAATAAAGTTTTTGTTACCTTATGGAATCTCTTTTCTTTCTGGGATATAACAATTGAGGCTTCATGTAAAATGAATTGTATTAGAGATATGTAGCCTAAAATTCTACAGCAGAGGGTGGGATTGAAACCTCTCTTTTATACTTGAAACAAGAAATAGTTTCGCATTGCAATAGTTGTCAATAAATTGCTGATATAAATAGATCGAATAGATGCGACTGTTTAGGGAGATTTAACTGTTTGAGGTGCCATTTGGATATTCATCTATGTGGCAAGCAAGAAGAAATTGCTTGAATACTTGCCTACATTATTTTTTTACAAGGAGTACTTTGGAGGAATTAGGACTTAGAAGTTGTGAGGGTACCTAATTCGTAGCACTGAATTTTGTAAAAAAATGTGTTATTCCAGAGGGTTTTGCTAAACTGTTTATACTTTTGGTAAAGAAGTGCATTATACTAATTTAACATAAATATTAAAAAACAATCATATTTTTTTATACATTTGGTTCTAAAAATTTGACACAGAGATTTATTTTAATTGCATTTTTGTTTAAATAAGTATGTGCAAATATATGTATACTTAGTATGTAATAAATATTTCTTATGCTATAGGATTTGACACATTTTATTTAAAAAATCCATATGTATCTCTATTAATTATATATATATACATATATAAATATATATGTATTTATTTACATATGTTTATATAAACATACATATAATGTATTAAATATTTACATGTAGTTTATATATAAATGTAGAAATAATAAATATATAAATTTATTTATGTATATGCATACACTAATATACTTATATATTAATATACACACATATTTTTATATAAGAATATGTTTATACGTATAAATTTATATATCTATATATATTTATACACATATATATTTATATATGTATATATATTTCATAGTAAATTATCTTAGCAAGTTTTACGGAATATTTATATTTGTTCAATATTTGTTGTATAAAAATATAATTAAAAACTTCTCTGCTTAGTAACAAGGAGAAGCTAGTGTTTATTTTCACTTTTAATTCGTATAAAACTAATAATTGGTTTATTGTTTTTTTTTTTATAAAATACAAAGCCATATAAAATATTTATGCACTATTTTTTTTTGTTTTTAAAATACACAATAAAACAAAATTTTTACTTTTTGGAAATTTTAAGTCTCAAATCGTTTGATCTCACAGTAAGTATTATATATATGTAAATATATTTATGTAGTATCTTAAATAAATTCTAAAATGCATGCGTAACTCTTAGTATTGATATGATATAAATTTATTTTACATATTATATTTCAAATATTAGATTGCAATTAATTATATATAATCTCACTATAGAGAGAACAATTATTCTTAAGAATATAGTTTCTCAACCACCTTTTCGTGGACAGTTTCCAGTCTGCGCCATTTGCACAAACGGTCTGTAAAATTTCGTATTTTCGTTATAATTTTTGAGAAGATATCGTTACCGATTCTTACAAAATATTATACGTTAAATATTATACCTGTCCATTGAAAACAAATTATGTAGTTTCTCGATATGCAGTCCATTTTTTTTTTAAGAAACACTGATTTAGAACTTTTAATTTAATTAAAATGCTAATAAAATATTTTATTTTTTATAGATTAGTGCTTTAAAGTGTCCAACTGCATTCGAATTAATTTTTGCAAATGTTTGAACCGCTCGAAGCATTCGAGCTGCTCGATATATTCGAACTACTCGAAGTTATTCGAACTGCTCGCAGATATTCAAGTTACTCAAATAGCAATTCCGCTTTTATGTTAATTTCGTTTTGCTTTATATAAATAATTTATAATTTTATATAATTTTCGAAATATATGGAATCAAATTCTCTAATATGAGCAATTTCAAACTTGAATTAGATGCTTAAAATTTCAAACAGTTCAAATGATATTTAAAGCACTGATATATAAATACATTAAGCTAGAACTAATTTCAATGTTCTCCTTAACTAATGAATACATATTTAATATATAATTAATTTTTTTCCACTTTAGAAAACTTTATTTTAATTATAAGAAAATATTTAATATTTTTGGAACAATAGATTTCAAAACATACTCCAAATCACAAAATCACATTAAATTAGAATAATGAACGTTTTGCATATAACTTGAAATATAAACATAAAATTAAATAAACTCATATAATAAAAACAAAATGTATAGAATAATTTTAAATTTTTAGAGTTTTAAATATGTATAATACTATACTGGAAATTCTGTTATAAACATGAAATACAAAAAGATACAAATCTTATGAAAATTTTCAGTACATTAATGTTATATAAAAAATATATAAAGTTAGTATATAGACTCTATTTAGAAATCTATACGATTGACTTTAAGGTTTATATTTTCTTTGAATAGACTATGATGTATAATTATTTCTCAAAAAAAAAAATATATATACTTATGTACTGTTGTCATTTGTAACCTGGCCCCAAATAGGTATTCATGAAACTACTTTAACTATTTTGAAATAAGTTGGACATTTATAAGAGACAATATTTTTATATTTATAAAAATTAAAGACACAGTAGAAAAAGAGGTATAACTTTATAAGCAAAGACATACTACATTACAATGAAACATAATTATAACGTCATTCATAACCTAAATCTCAATTGAGATTCATAAAATTTCTTTAACTCTTATTGTGAGCTGTATATTTATAAAAATAACGTGTAATACACATACATTATATTAAAGTTATATGAGAAAATCCGATACAATTAAAAGTTTCAAATATTTGGTGTTTCAAAGTACAATTATAATTGACTACTTAAAAATAATACATGCATATAATTAGATATTGTGCAAGATTCTTAGAACTAACTGGATTTTTACAATATTATGAGGAAAATAGATTTGAAATATACCTCACATTTATATAAAATTACGGAACCACAGTAATAAACTATACGCGTAACATCTTTACACTTCTAATACATTTTACATAAATTTAATTTTAAATAATTTTTAATAATTTAAAATTGAAGACAGCTACAAAAATCAAATTTTTAGCAGTTTTGAACATACAACTTCAGTCAAAAAAAAATTTTAAAAACAATTATAACAATTGAACGAACTGTAATAAAACTAAAAATAGTCTAAAAAAGTAATTACAAATATATTATGTTTGTAACGTTTAACATAAACATTTATATACACTTACAATAATAATAATAAAAGGAAATAAACTAATAAATTATAAATTCTCTAATTAAAATATCTATTAAACTCTTAAGAGCTGAGCTTTGAGTGCGTAAATTGCTGCTGCTGCTGCTGTTGTTGTTGGTGATTTGGATGATGCTGGTGCTGTTGTTGTTGTGACTGCTGCTGTTGTTGTTGATGTCTTAAAACAGGATTCCGTAATACTAATTCAGAATCTTCTGATATTATTGGTAATGAATTTGTCCAATGATAATTAATTAAATGACTAATACTATCAAATATACGATCCTTTGTACGTACAACACCTTCGGGATCAATAAGTAGCAAATGCTTTGGTGTTTTACCTTCCAGACCTGTCAATACATATTGACCAACTTTACCCTGAGATTCGCGGACCAAAAAATCTCCATCATTTTTCAACAAATTTTCAGCAACTGGACGACTTATAGTTGCATGGAACCAGGATTCTGTCATGAGTTGTGAACGTTGCACTTCAGCACATAATGAATAAGGTTCTGTAATTAATGCAATGTATTAATATTAAACAAATTTAATTAAAGTATATTTATTAATTACATTAATTAAATTTATTATTTCGTTATAAAAAAAAAATGATGACTATATATGTATAATTATGTATATATGTATCTACTGAAAATTAATTATGACTTATATTAAAATTTTAAGGGAATTATCTTAAACGAAAGATATATAAAATATATATAATGAATACATATTTATTTTTTCATTCGTGTAATATATAATGAAAAAACTGAAATATATATTGTTAAATATGGCAGACATTAGATTTCAAAATGAAAACATTTTAACATTCATTTTGAGTATAGATTGGACTCGACCTAGCGAATACCAGACACAAGGGACGATCAAAAACATGTCTTATTAGTTGTATCGACGAAGACATAAGAGTTCTTGGCAATAGCAACTGAAAACCATAGCTAAAATTATAAACCCTACAATGACACTCGCCAGCTACTATAGCAGAGGCTGTGGTTTAATCTATATAACTTTCGTTCAGGATATTTTATTTGAAAAAAACAGTTTGTGATCAATGATATCTTATGAATTCATATCCTAAACAATAATAGGCGAAACAAATATAATAAAATAATATAATATATAAATATAATATATAAATATAATAAATAAATGTAATAAATAAATATAATAAATATTTGTAATTAAGGTTTGAATGCGATTGAGAAAAAATGTTTAATTTGGCTCCGTAAATATAAAATTCACCACTAATTGTTTAAAATATTTATCCTATCTTCTATCGTGCAAAATAATGGTTTACCCCTGAAAATGCTAATACAATGATGTCCATCTGTACACCTATCCTTCAACGCACACAAACCTCCATCCAATTGACCTTTGCACCCAACCCCTAGAAGGTTTCTCCGTCTGGATTTAGGTTAATGTTCATTTAAATGCTATCCACTCATTCCACCCCTTATCCTCATACCCCCTCTATCTTCACCAACTACTACCCATCCACTACCTCACCCATGTTATCTGCTCGCAGGTCCAAGCCAGTTACAACAACAAAAAGAATATGCTGTGGAGTGCATGATGCAGCATGGCTATATTCTATATACCTATACTTTTCTGCAGTTTTAGCATAAAGGTGACAATCAATTGAAAGCAAATTATTGTATATAGGGTATAAAAATGTTTTGCGGTTAGAACACACATTACAAATGGACGGATTTGTATGCAATCCATGCTATGACATTAATTGGGGAAGAACAAAACTAAACATTACTCTTGCATAGACATCCCTGATTTTACATAAGTTTAATATTAACCCAAAAAATAATTAGGTTTTTAAATGTTAATACCTTAGCAGTTCGTCATTTGGTGGAAGAATACCAAGTAGCAATAGAATCTGGTTCACATTTTTAATAAGAAATAATAAGCAAATACTAATTATTTCATTACTTCAATTACTTAATTGTTACTGTAAATACTTAATTGTTACTTCAATTACTTAATTATTATATCAATTAGTAACAAATACTTTTTTCTATTTTAATCACATATGCTCTCTTTAAATTTAGAAAGAACTTACGTATATCAAAAACATCACGAACTGGTGCCTGTACTGCATTTGGTGTATTGGAGTTGCTTTTCATTGGATCAAAACTATTCAAATTAACTTTACTGCTTGTTTGATCAGGTGGAGGACTATTTAAATCAATTAAATTACTGCTAAGACGATCTCGTGGCTTCTTCAAATTTAATTGTCCAACTTTAAATTGTTGTTTTTGTTGTTGTTGTACTTGCATTTGCTGCTTCGTTAAATCATCTTCAGTTAACAAGTCAGGTGGTAGCTTATTGGGCAAATCATTATAATAATCTTTATCATTTTCTTTACCGGTGTTGTAATTTTCTGGAGGTTGATGACTATAAATATAAAATAGATTAACAAATTATATTACTAATAATAATAATTAATAACAAATAAATGAACTAACGTTTTCCGGCTTAGTGCATTGAAACGGAGCATAAAGGATTTGCCAATGGTAACTATTAGATCTTCACTCTGTCCAGGGTAACATTCTATCACATAGCAAGCACGCCATTCATCTTCATTCTTTGCGATGTAAGCAAGGAAATCAAGAGTATTCTGTAAATTAAAATGAATATTTAGTAATCATGTAATCATGTTGAATAAAGGATCCTAATAGCAGTTTAAATATTTGTTGATATGACATTAACTTGTACTTACGGCATCTCCACCTGACGCAAAGGATATGCGTGGCATATTGTGACCAGCTATTATCTCCCCATTTTCTACGTTAATAATTTCTATTGAACGACTCGACACACTCATCAACACATTTCTACCAGCATTTTCCATGCATGGTTTATCAGATATGTACTGCAGAATTTTCTTGTCAACACGTCGTTTGCTTGCTACTTTCAGACCTGCAGTTTCACAGACACGATTTATGCATTCTCTACATGACAGAAAGAAAAATTTATGATGATGTGATTATTTATAAAAAAAAAATTATTTTTCTTCCTTTTTCATGTAATGAAACCCCTTAATTAAAATTATCTACCCAAGTAAATTACTCATTTCTAAGCAAATGATTCAATTTATATGGTAAGTAATACAATACAATTCAATGAGGAATTTATCTTCTCTTCATACTAACCTTGCAACTTGTGTTCTCGTACTGAAATCAAGGGACGACATTGAGGTCTTCACCTCAATACAACCGGTATACTGCAAAGACGAAAAAAAGCAAAGATTTAAAAATGTTAAGTATCACTTCAGAAATAAAATGAAAAGACGATACAGAAAGGCTTAAAAGCCTAATGGGTTAACAAAGTTCAGTGTTTATTTTGATGTGGCATCGACATTGAAAAGAATTGTTGGCAGAACGGAAGTAGCTACTCAGTTACAAAAAAAAAAAATTAAAATAAAATAAAGTAAAATACCTATTCATACAAAAGCAATGGGAAAAAATTGCCTGAAACCACAAAAGAACAAGCGCACATACTTTTACACAAAGTATTTGCGGCATGCAGAAGAACAAGTGGGAGAATGTGTAATACTTTCAGACCCGTGCATTGAACCCCAGTATATAATATTGAAGAAAATAAACAAGGATATAAAATAAAATTACAATGCAACGTGAATATTTGCAAACTTACTTTGACTCTGAATACAACTCCCGTTTCCATTAATTCTTCATCGGAATAAATGCAACCATCATTACCGCCTCCACAAGCGCCGCTATCATTTGTACTGGAATCGCAACCATTTCTTGGCATTTTTCAAGTATTTGTGTGAGGATTAGGGATAAGAACTAGAGTTTTAATAGCACATAAAATTAAAATTTGTTCTTTTCTTTTTGTTTAAGCATAAAATTCCTGTAGATATTTTCCTCGTTGTTAAATTTCTGCAAAAAAATAAAAATTCCTATATATATCAAACGTTTTTAGCAAATGAGAAGTATTATATATTTATTTAAGACATGAACAGAATACAAATATTTATTTAAAGGCAACTGAATATTTAGCTTATAAAATGATATTTAAAATTTATCGTTTTTTATTACTATTATTACCATTTTTATTATAATTATCACAACAGTTTATATTAAGAATTTAGTTTCTTTCATTAATAAATAATAATAATAATAAATAGTAATTATAAATAATAATAATAAGTAATAGTAATAAATAATAATAATAAATAATAATAATAAATAATAATAATAAATAATAACAAATAATAATAATAAATAAAAATAATAAATAAAAATAATAAATAATAATAATAATAATAAAAACTCTAATTAAATTCTTAACTCAATAATTAAACAGAACCAAATATTTATAAAGTAAATATATTTTAATATATATATAAAAATATAGTCACATTACGGAACTTACATAAACCACACCCGTAGGTAAACAAGTAATGCTGTGAATTACTAACAGTTCATTGTGATATTGCAGATAGAGAAGCCAACACATTTTGGATACATTCTATCCAACAATTATTAAACTTTTTCAAGTCGCTTCGAACCCTTTAAAAAAAAGATGCAGTTACATACTCTCTAATGGTTGACCTGTTTTCTTCTATTCCTTTTTTAGGGTTTGTTACTATGAAATAGTAGCAAGGATTAAAATTTTGAGAATTGACTGCAAGTCTTTCCTGAACAATATCAAGAAATGAGGAAGAAATAACCTCAATTTTTTTTAAGTTGAGAGTTCAGTTAAGTAGAGTTAAATAACCTCTATTTCAGGCTTCAAGACTGAAGTTTCCGACAAATATGACAGTGTGATTAAACATACTTCGGGTGAGAGTATGGCATAAATACATTTCCAAACTGTCTTCTGACGATAACACCATTTCAACCTTTATAGATGCGAGCATTGTTTTAGATAGACAAAGATTTTGGTTTAATACCATTGCTAGCTATATGAAGATCGTAGTATTAGTTATTCCAACGAATTTAGAATAGCAAAACAATAAACCGATATAACCTTACTGAGGAATTGTTTGATGCCAACGGTGATGTGCTGGTAGCGAAAATCGATCAACTCATTCACTGACAACTGACAATATGTCCAACGATAGCAATTTCAGCACTGTCTGTTCAGTTTTTAAGACAGAATAACCGAAGACCTGCTCTAACTACTAATACTAATGTCAATATCCGCTGCATATATGCATAAACTTTATTCAAGCATATTGCGTCAAAGATAGAAGCATTATGACAGACGACTAAACAGACGTTATTTATGTGATTACAAAATTTGTCATTCGACCATTTACTTGGTATTTATAATGCTATAAATCTTAGAAAATATCCACATATTCTCGACACGAGTCTTTCGGAATTTATCTGACATATGCAGTTACACTATAATAAACTTGATATCCCTGCAAAACTTATAAATCTCTAGTGGATGAAGTTGAGAAATATCTATAGCTACCCCTAACTCTCTGAAATTTTTGATAATATTGGAGATTTCAGACAAGACAACTCCTTACCTATTAACCTCTTTGATTTTGTGAAAAATGTAATAGTTTATAGGACAGGTATACATTGTAATAGCACAATAGTCTACCAATGAATGGTGTACATTGAATACTGTAACGATAACAATATAATTGATTGTAGCACTACTGACTTTGCCGATATCGAAAATAGAAACTCTCAAAAATAGGTTGGACAGCGAAAGAGAGAAGAAAAAAGTATGTATATATTGACAATTGGTAGAAATCGTCTTTGCTCTGACAGTCAAATGATTATTACAATTATACTTTTGAAGCTTTGAAAAATTACTTATATTTCCTTACCATCTTCATTAATAACAACAAGGTCAACCCCTAGACATCAAACGGAGAATTGCCACTACTATAAGTTCAATAGAAAATTGAGATGCAAAATTTTTTTAAAACCAAGAAAATACCACTATCCTCATTCCTTCTACTATGTTTTCTTTACAGCGCAGAAATCTTGGACATTGAAAATATTCAAAAAAGCTCTTCGATAAATCTACGTTTCTGTATGTGTTGGCAATTGCCTCCATGTCTTAATAAACTAAAAACTAAGTGAACTATCTTGCAAGAGGTCACATCGTGAATGACTTAATAGCAACGCTTGCAAGAGATTACAACATCAGAAAATTCTCTTCCAACCACACAGTAGAAAACGCTCTTCAGCAACACCGGGATTATTTATATTAGATCCCTTAGTAGAACAACGTCATCTAGCTTTAATAGATATGGTCAAGTCGTGAGAAACGCATTAGTTTAAAAAAAAGCTATTTAAAGCGTCAGTCAGAAAAAGGAATATAAGACAATACGGAGTTTTCGATGGAATGATCAAGTTGAGGAAGAACTAGCTTCAATTGATGTACGAGACAAATAGATACTCGCAGTTCTTTACCCAGCGCCGGTAAATACCGGTATGCGTTTTTTTTAAGGTTTAATTTAACCTGGTTTTTAATGAAAAAAAATAACACTAATGAGCTAATAACACTAATAACACTAATAATCGTTTATAGTGATTATTAGCTTTGTTTAATTTTTAAAAATTAATTAAATTAAGATAAAATGAAAAAGTTTAATTAAAATTTAATCACATTTTGTAATTCTTTAATTACAACAAAGTGAAACAAAGTGAAAGAAATCCATCAGGATAACATCAAATTGTCAAACTGTCCAGGATATTGGTTTTGTCTTTCATGAAAATGTAACATTTTAATTAATGTAAACTTAAAGTACTTAAAACCGTGGCAAGTAATTAAAACAAAATGAAAGAATAAAGCCAACATGGAAAGATTAATTAATTTAATGGCACAGCGGAAAAACAAACAAATAAGCAGGCAACAACAAACCATTCATCCATTCCACCGTTCTTCCATGACATCAGGCCGAATGAAGGAAGGAAGTTGCGCAGCATCATCGAAGCGTTACCATAGCACTCAACACTACAGATAAGAGCAACAAAAGCAAGAAGACCGAGTATCTGCAATTTACACACTTTCGAACATTTTTTTTTGTCGATTTATTTTTGAGATATTTTTATGAATTTGTGAAAATGTAATATATTTATAGTAGTTGTTTTGTTTTCTTTTTCTTTTTTGTATTTTTTTTTTCGCATATTTCAACGCAAATTTTTTAATTTCAATGCGGAAGCATCATTCACACTCATCGGAAATTCGTTGAATTTGCAGCAGAGGAAGCAATTGCTGGCACTGGTGCTGGCACCGCTTCTGGTGTAGCGGTTGATGTCGCTACTATGTTGATGTTGCTGACACTGAAAACTACCATCTGCTCGAAATAATAAGAGAAGCGCTTGACAACGGATGGTGCTCACAATGGGTGGACTGGAATGGATGGCGTGAAAATTGCAAATAAAGAAAATTGACGTGCTGCGATACTCAGTCGACAACATGGAATGCCATTAGTTAATTTTGGTATAATTAAAATTGTTATTAGTGCATGAGAAAATTCAACAGTTATTAATTTATAGTTTAATTTCCTTGCTTACTATTTGGAACCTTTTTATACCAAACATTTTTAAGTAGTTATTCTACTCATAAAGTTGTGGATTGCAGGGAAATCTTTTGTGTTCAGCTTCATTAAATTAATTGGATTAAAATAGAGTAATACGTTTGTATCATGAATTGGTGGAATGGTTTGGCATGTAGTGCGTGGGATATATTACAAGATGATTAACGAAAGTCTATTTAGTTGAATATAAAAAAAATTTACAAAAATAATTTTATTTTTATGACTTTAATTGTAACATTTTTCATTTCCAATAATTTTTATATATTTTGAAGTCGGTAGATTCATTTTCTAGAACAGTTCTGAAAATTGAACTGTTCGCAACTTTGAGATTAAAGCACTCAACACCTCACAATTGTCCAAAAAACAACCAAAAATCACACGGCGTAAAGTTCGGGAAATATCTTGCAATATGAATTTCTTCATTCCTTGAGACCGTAATAAAGTTGCTTGTTTTCTCAGAAATCTAAGTTAGCACATTATAACGATACAGAACATATTAATATTGTTTCTTTTTATTCTAATTTGGCAACAAATGTTTAGAAACTTGTGGTTGCAGAAAGCAGGGGTCAATATACCTCAGAAAACTAGACAGCAGTAACCGTCATTATAATCTTAAACAGCTAAATTTTATCTGGTGAAATATATTGACTTTACTACTTTTGTTGCTGATTTTTATTGCGTAGCTTCAATGGATGGATAGCTTTAATGAAGGATGGATATCACCTTTTCCATACTATCGACTATTGCTTTCTGGTTTGTACTTGTAGAACTAAGCTTTATTACATTTTTAATAAAGGTCCGTTTATTTTTAAATTCTTGAAAAAAATATTAAACAAAAATACACACGTCTCTTTTTGAGTTTCAGTTTAAATGCGATGGACCTATCGTGGTGGTTTCTTCATGTATCCAAAATAAATATTTTATATTCACGATATAACCACGGCTCTCAAGCGCAGTCTCAACAACACATTCCTGGGTCAATAACGGACACGAACATAAGACTTATTTTTTCAAAAGAAATATTAATTCCTTTCGTACTAAAATGTTTTTTAAAATCATAGATAGACCTGGCTTACACCTACTTGAATTTAGATCACATACGTAAGATTCGTCCTTACGAACGTCGCCCAAAAATCTTCAAAACCATTTTCTGTCGGTCACAACGATGGTGTATTCTCTTTACGTGCTATAATTCTTCTACAGAAGATTAGTCTGAAGTCTGTATAGAATGGCAAACCGAGTAGATTTCTGTAATCTGTCTATAACAGAATAGTAGTTAACGACTCTCAGTGTCGTTAAATTGTATGGAATACAGTACCCAACTACTGTAGCTAAATCGGGCGTAGTATTTAAAAAATGGATTTG